AGTAGTACATATTTATGACTTGTAACTAAAAGGTGTCGACATAGACTAACAATTCCATTGCAAATATGATGTATGGCAGTAGCAGTGTTTTGGGATAATTGTTTTTTATGATTACCTTGACTGCCAGCCATATTAAGAGCCATTTTACCAAATTCAATGATAAAATCAAGTCGGTGGTCATTTGGAGATTTGATTTCAGCTTATCATTCTTACCTGCGCTTATTTCAGACTGAGTGAGAAGTGCATTATATGTTTTTTCAGAAAACACTCTGAGGCAAGTAGAAACCCATTGTCTTTCTATTGTCTTTGGAGCAATGGAAATTTCATTTAAATCTGAAAGTTTGACTAGTCTTTCAGATTCAAAATGATATAACTGTTTAAGATGTGTCCATTTGCAACTCGACTTACTCCATCATCATCAAAGATTAGTTCTCCTGTTTTTTCTGTCAACCACAAATTGTGAATATTTTTCAACAGATGAACATAATCAAAAAGCAAATGTTTATTATCTTCAGTTAACCAAGGTTTTTCAGGAAGTGTAGGATATAATTTAAAAAAAGCTTGATTTACGCGGTTACCATCACATATAATAGCCTTTACATCAGCTGGTACAGATGTGATGGCTTGGACTGTTAACTCAATTTGTTCAAATAAAAAGGCGGATGTTAATTTTGAAATTGGAATCAATTTTGTAAGAAAATTTGGACCCCCATTGAGACATATGAACATTATACCAAGTACTGTTTGAGCAAGTACAAATGGATTGTCAACTGATTTACCAAATAGTTGTTTGCCATGATATAGCAACATCTTCTTGATATATACTTCATCATGGAGAATTATGCACCCTTTTTGACTGGTATTAAGAGTATTAAATATAGATAACAAAAAAGATTTTTCATTAAGTTTTGAAACTTTTGACGTCATCCTTCATAATGTTGCTAATGAGGGTAATTGAAAATCATATCTTAATTCATTACACAATGTCCGTGATCTTGCATAGTACCCAAAAGCATGCACAACTATATCTGAGCTGTATTTTATTCCAACCATTTTGGGAGCCATTGCTAAAAATTGTTGACTCAGGATATTTTTCTTGTGATCAAAAGCCATAGAATTTAAATATTGGATGATTTCTTCCAGTTTTGACCAAGTATCAACTGTATTTATATGATTTTTGGACAGGCTGCTAATATAACACTTAACTCCATAATGAAATGTTTCAAAGCGCAAATTGTTATAAATTTTCAACATAAAGAGAGGAATACCATCAATAGATTTTGATAATTGAACAGTTAAAATATTTTCATCCAAAATGCTACAACTGGACATATAAAGTCTTTTTTTTGTTGTTAAGCAGACTTTCTTTCAAATTAGGTATAATTTTATTTAATTCTAAAAAAGCATTAAGTTCATCAGCAATTTGATTTCTAACAGTACTGGAGTTTTTTTTTATATTCCTTTGAACAGCTGAGGGTTTTGGTATTTGACTACTTGGCACACCTGGCCATACAGATGGCGGATTTTTTGGACGTATTTTTCCATTAACTTTTATGGTATCAAAATTTGAAGGCCAATGTTGTTTACTTTAAAACTTTATATTAAATTTAAAAACATTCATAAGTAGCCTTTCCTTTAGTTTGGTTATTTTAATACACTTTAAACTATATAAATAGGATTAGGAATATATATAACTTTTTTTTTACCTTAAAGCAAAACAATTAAAAGTAAAGTAAAAATAATGCATTTTGTCCTTTAACAATATCAGAAAAATATTAAAATAAATATGATAAATAAAATGGTATTATTATACTTGTCTTGTAAAATAAATTTTGTAATCAAAAGGCGTAAAAAGGAGACTTTCTAAAAAAAAAAAAAAAAATAATTAAAATATTGACATTAACTAAATTATTATTTAATGTTTGTTATTTTTTTCTTTAAAGTAAAAAAATACTTACAGTTCACCAATTGGTAACTACTGTAGTAAAAATAATCATTTATTCTTTAACTTCGGAAACAAAAGCGCAAAGAAATTCGTTTGTTTTGGGTTTTTTTTACTTTTAATGGAAATGTTGGATAAAGTTTTAATAGAGAAATGTTAATGAACCTTTATTCAAATTTTATTCAAATTTATTATTCAAACTTAAACTTTTAATAGAAAAATGTTGACTTATACTAATTTTTTATCATGGTTAAAAACTTGAGAAAATTAAACTTTAATTTCGTTGACGTTATGTTTTACTTTTCACTCATATTAACAATGTTTTTTTTAGCAATATCAAAAATAAATATCAAATTAAGTAATGACATTGAATTTAGGAAAAAAAAAAATTTAATTCATTTTATAATAAAAATAGTTTTCTTTATGTCTTTGAAGAAACTAAATTAAATACTGTTCAAATTTGTTAAACGTTGTTTTGTTTTGCTTTTTAAAATAACACAAATTACTCAAAAAGAATTTCATTTTATCAATAAATAATTCTTTAAACTTTATCAAAAAATGTTGAGCAAACTTTAAGAGGGAAAATGCCAAAAATGAATTAAACTTTAATTTAAAAATGTTAAGGCTTTTTAAACTTAAAGTAAATCTTTTTGTGCAAGTAAATTTAAGCACCAAAGTTTACTTTTTACAATCTAAATATAAATAATGTATGGACTCAAACTAAAATAATCAAATATACTTACTTCAAATAAATAAGTTAAATAAATGATATTCCAACCAAAGGTAAAATTAAAAGATTCCTTTGAATTTCTCGAGCCAACAACATAAGAGTACACAGTACGCAGCAGTTCACTCAAACTGAAACTAAAACGATCTAATTGTCAGTCGGCCTCCAGTCTATCGAGGTAGCGGCGTTAATATAGAACGCCATGGTTTCGACGTATGAGGATCTGACAGCTTATTGATTCAGTTATGAAAGTTTGTGCAATAATCTTAAGTGGCATTTAAGACCCGCTAGTGATTTACAAAGGAGGCCACATATGGAGCAAGTGTGAGGATTGTGAAATGAGATCACTGTTAGCTGACCTCTTAGATCTTGCTCTCGCTTCTTGAAGACGATTCAAACAAGCAGATTGAAAATTGCTGAGTCCACTAAAACACGTTGATCTCCATTCTACACACTCCAAGGCTAAGCGCTCAAGGCTGTTATGTGGTATATTGACTGCTGACAAGTTGCTTTTCAGCTTGTCTTTGTATCTTAGCCATGGGCGTCCTACACTCCTGTAGCCCTGATCTAACTGGCTGTACATTAGGACCTTGGGTATCCTGTCATCAGACATTCTCAAGACATGAGCAGTCCACCGTAACTGAGACTGTATTTTAAAAGTCTTGATTCCTCCAATATTACACCTGTTAAACAGGTCTACATTAGATGTCCTATCTTGAAGCTTAACTCCACAGATTGCACGACATATATATAATTATTATTTAAAATATGTATTCATCATTACCGTTTTGAAACCCAAAATCTAAATCTTAAATTAAACTTAAAATTTAAAGTTTAGTTTCATTTTCAAGTGATGTTGAATGAATAACTTTTGGAAAAATGATTTACTCTTTTTATCAGCTAGATAGTATTATATACTTTTTGTGGGGGAATGAGAATTCAATTTTTTTTGTTATTTAAGATGGTGTGGTGTTTTTTTGATGAATCAGGATACAAGTATAATTTAAGGTGGCAAAGTAAGTATTGGTTAAAGGTTAGGTGTGAGTTTGTAATTTCTTTCTGTTGATATTGGCTTCCTTATATGAGAGCATGTCATCACTGTCTGTTTTTTTAAGATACTTTACAATACAATTAGCATTTTTATTTAGTTTTTTATTTATTTTCTTATTTTATAAAATACATTGGAATTATCTTGAAGGGGCTTTCAAACATTTTTTCAAACATTCTGTGGATGATTAATTATTTTCCACTCTATAACTGCTTTCCCATAGATGAAATATTGCAAGCCTCTCACTACTCTATTGCTATTTCCACTGTAAGTATTCTGATAAGCTGCATTCTTTGATTCCACCTACCTTGATCCTTGCAGCTAGGAACCCACCATGTTATGTACACATGAATGAATCGTCCTCATTCCCTTCATATTTCATTAGTAACACGTAGCTTCCACTTGAACATTTCAAATACTGCAGTTTCATGGAACAGGCTCCCAGAAGGATGTTTTCTCGATCACTGTAATCTTGACTTCTCCAGTTCTAGGATTAACCATTATCTTTCCTGCATAACCTCACAAACTTCACTTCTCACCCTTTCTTATGCTCATACAACATGACACAGTAACCCTCTAACTTGAGTGGCTTTTAGGCCTTGTATTGGATGAACATTAGTATAAAAAATATGTGTGTGTGTGTATATATAATTATGTAACTGTTATGTGAAAATAATGTCTTGTGATCATAATTCAATGTCTGTTTTTATATAAGTTTAAAAAATATTTTTTGAATTTAATTGAGATACAAAACTTAATTATATTTTCTTTTTTTTCTTTTTCAGGATTTTCTTTTTATCAAACAGAGAACCAATTTCTTAATGCACAATGCCATAAAAGAATGAAACAAAAGCTGATTTTTTGGAATCTCTAAAAAACATCTACCATGATTTCATTTCTTGAACTACACTAAAAAAAAAGAAAGAAAAATAGACAAAAATAAATCACCTGTCTTCAAGTAGACACAAAATGTTTGATAAAAGATAGAAATGTCTGAAAGACAAGCATTTTGGAATTTTTTTAACAAATACATATACTGCTTCTAACATATTTTCTTTTTCATTCAAGCAAATACATCTATACTTACACAAATACTATTGTTCATATCAACACATTAACGTATTTGGATAAATCAATATTCATTATACAGATAAGGGAAATAACTACTCAGAATTATCTCCCTTGCTGTGCTGTTGTTAGACTTCTCCATCTTTTTTTATCATTAACCAAAATAATCTTTAGCTAATCTTTTCTGAGAAAATTGTCAAGATTATTCTATCAAAATGGATCTGCCCGGAACTTCATCTGAGAAACCAACTCATGTGCCAAGCATTGGACAATTTGCCCCATCGCTGGGGTCACCAACATACACATGGCCAACTCCTCGATTTGTGGCAGCAGCTGCAGCTGCTGCTGTTGCTCAGTGCCACCAGCACCGTCCAACCCTCCCAGAAGAGAAGGCACCATCAACCTCAACATCAGGACATTTTCATCAGAGCCCTGAGGTTCTGGATCCAAACAGTTCCATTTATGGTAGCATGTATGCACCTGCTGGATATTTACAGACTCCACTAACAATTGGTAAAATCGTGCCAACATCATCCACTTCAGAATCATGCAAACTGAAAACTGCTACTTCCACAAATACATTGACCACCACGGCACCATCATCAATGTCAAATGCAGTCATGAACTGCCAGAAACAGTTCCAAGGGCCAAAATTAACAGTACCACAACCTCTATTTCATCATCACCGATACAATAATAATAATAATAACAATAACGAGAGTAACCCTATTTCTTCAGACAAGACTGTCCATCAACAAACTTGCTATCAAGTCTCATCAAGTAATATAAACTGTCCAAAAATGTTTTTCTGTGATATCTGTCCAAAGCAGTTCTCTCGTAAGGACAAACTTCAGATTCACAAGCGGACACACACCGGCGAGAAGCCCTTCCAGTGTGACCTCTGCTGCAAGCAGTTTGCCCAGAAAGACAAGCTGAAACTGCACCGACGGGTACACACTGGGGAGAAGCCCTATCACTGTGACATTTGTCCGAAGCAGTTTTCTCGCAGTGACAAGCTGCAGATCCACAAGCGAACACATACAGGTGAGAAGCCCTTTGACTGTCACCTCTGCCCAAAACGGTTTGCACAACGTGACAAACTGTTGCTGCACATTCGCGTCCATACTGGCGAGAAGCCGTACGCCTGCGACCTGTGTCCAAGACGCTTTTCCCGTGGGGACAAGTTGCAATTGCATCGCCGGACGCACACAGGGGAAAAGCCTTTTGGCTGTGACATCTGCCCGAAGCGGTTTGCACGCGGCGATAAACTCAAGATTCATCAATATATGCACTCGGGTTACAAACCGTTTGTGTGCAAAGTCTGTGACAAACGGTTTGTTCAGAAGGACAAACTCCGAATCCACAGTCGCACGCACACCCTCGAGAAACCGTACCCCTGCGACTTGTGCATCCAACGGTTTGCTCGCAGGGATACGTTACAGATCCATCGGCGGACACACACTGGGGAGAAGCCCTTCCACTGTGAAGGGTGCGGGAAATCGTTCTCCCAGACTGGAAAGTTACAAAGACATAGAAGAACACATAAAGAATTAAGAAAACTAATGCAACGTAATAGTCATAATATTAACTATAAAAATATTCTTAGTAGTACAACTAATAATAATAGTACTAATATTTGTAATAGTAATAATAATAATAATAATCTAAGTAATACAAATATCACTATTACTACTACTACTAATAATAATAATAATTCAAACAGTACTACAAATACTACTACTACTACTAGTAGTAGTAGTAATAATAATAATAGTAATAATAATAATAATAATAATAATCCAAGTGGTAATAATAATAATAATAATAATAATAATCAATCATTTTGGGTACCAGCCATACCAGGTTGCAACACTCTTATTGCAACTAACACAGGAAATACTAACAACACCATGAAAGACTACATACCAATGGGTCCCCTTTTGTGGCAAACAATATACCAATAAATGAGTGTCAAAAAGACCAAACAAATAATACTTCAAGAGTCCATATCTACACATGAATAAGTTGAAAATTAAGTTTTATGGTAAGAGAAGTTGGGGTTTATTCATTATACATTCTTAATGGCATTGTTCAGCTAAAATCCTTGTAAGAGTGAAGAGTTTGGAGTAACTTTTAACTTCAATAAAAATAGGTCCATCAATTTAAAAAATATAACAAACAATGATAATGAATAGTTTGAGATAGATAGATAGATAGAGAGAGAGAGAGAGAGAGATATGAACAGACTGAGATAGATTGAAAGAAGTAAATAGACTGATATAAAGAGATAGACATGTTGAAACAGATAGATAGATGTGGACAGGTTGAGAGAGAAAGATAAGTAAATGTGAACAGGTTGAGAGAGAGAGATAGATAAATAGATCAGTATAAGCTAGTTTGGCACTGCAGTTATATATCTCAAGATTCTCAACTAATTTCAAAAAAAGGTTTGTAATGTTATCAGTCCTGAGCTGGCATCTTCACTTCAGTCACTTTCCCATCATCATCACGTGGCTTCCCTCTGTCTTTTCTATAAATTCTTTCATGACAATTGTTTTAATGAGCTCTCCTCCTTGATACCTTGACTACATGAATTTAAGCGTTCTACCAGATTGGCTCATAGGTCTCATTATTTTACCGTTGAAATAGCCAGATGTAAGCATAAGTTCTATTTTAATATTTTCTTTTCTCACCTATGGAACACTTATTATTTCTAACTTCCCTGCCACTTACATTTTTAAAAAATTTAAATGCAATATCAATTGTCATCTGTCTTCTTGAAAGCCATTCTTTTATTGTCCTTTCTCATCACTAAATTCTTCTCATTCTGTTCTACTCTGTGTAACGCCTTGCATCTTGGTAGCATTATTGCTTTGCTTGGGGTGAAATGATGAAAAAAAAGTAGATAATTTATAAGTTGAAAAAGCTATTATAAGATATAATATTAGAACAATATAAACCTCTTCCATTTTATTAAATATTTGTTTGTAAGTACAGGTTGTATGACAAAATATTTTGGAGAAAAATTTAAAGTTGATTGAAGTGGCTAATAATTTGTTATGACTCAGTTCAAGTTTAATTCATTTTTTTTTTAATAAGTGGGCATTTTTAAGCAGAATTAATTAATTCCCAATAACAACAATAAGAAGAACAGAGTAAAAGACTGTGAAGAAAAACTGAACAATGTAATACAAGGCAAAGTAAAGCAACTATAAGACAGTAAAAAGAGATAGTTTTCATTTGCAAAAGGAATACAGTCAAGTGATTATAGTTTTATGACTTCAAGGAAAGAAAGAACAAAAAATGTGGGGATGAGATTGAGAATTCTCCATTTTTTATTGGTCATGAAGAAAATCCCAGCATGCAACTGTAAGATTTGTCTAGAAATTTGGGGAGGGGATGTTTTTAGCAGTCATTCCTTCGTAAATCTGTACCAATGACTATCTATAATAAATTGTTTTCTATGCTCTATAATAAATAATGTGTAATGCATTTCTGTAGTAAATCTGTTCCAGTGGATTTCTACTATAAATCATTTGCTCTGTTTTCTATAGTAAATCATGTGTAATACATCTCTGTAGTAAATCAGGACCATTGCATTTCTATAAGAAATCATTTGCTATGCTTTTATTTTTTTTTTTACAATAATGTTCACTCTGTACAAGGCCAAGAGCCACTCAAGGTAGAGGGTTACAAAGTAAAAGATACAGTTTATGTGGATATATGGGGAAGATAATGGTTAGCCCTGCACTTGGGTTAAGATTGTAATGTTCAGTGAAGCATCCTCTTGGGAGTTGGTTCTACAAAATAGCAGTTCATGGAAAGAAGATGCTTGAGTCAAACTTACATCTTACCAATAGAATATAAAGGGAATGAGGGTGGTTTGTGACAATGTGCTTGGGGCTTAGTTGTAAAGGTTAGAACTGGTGAAACTAAGGAATGTAGTTCATCTGAACATATTCTATGGCAATATCGACAGAGCAGTGAGACATTTCATCTAGTGAAATAACAGTTTAATTGGAATGAGGAATATCTCTTCACTTCAGATGCTTACCTGTAAATGATGAAGATGCAAATATATTCATCAGTTAATGATACAAAGGTGTGCAGCACTTTTTCTGTTGATGAAGCTTATTTTCTTACAGAAAATCATGAGTGTGATTATGTGTCTAACTAAGCTAAGCCATTATGTGTTTAACCAAGCTAAGCCATACATATGCAAAAAGGAAATAATTTTAACACTAAACAGTATAATTGATATGAATTTTATATATTTTTCAGCTGTTGTCAGTGTAAACAGACTTCACATAAGACAGTGTCTAATTATATAAATCCAGTAGCCAGTCACATTCATAGGCCACATCAGATCAGCTGTATTATTTCCTTCAGCCTGGATAAAGAATATGTTACAGTTCAACCTCTTTAATCTGCCACCTCTGGGACCTGGTCACTGCCAGATGACAGAAATTACCTCAAAACCCCCTATATAAATATAGTCTTACCAGCTCATTCCCCATATATATTGCTGTGTTATCAGGTAGTGCCATATGTCATGCATGCTTGGGCAGTCTTTTATCATTATATACATGACTGACGAGGCAGATTTTTTCCCGCAGTAGGTTGCCATTTCTTTCTGCAGTAGACTGATTGCTAACCACGGCTTAAGAACCCAGTCTGTCCTGCTATTCAACCCATAGCTGTGGAGTGAAGAGATGGGTTCATACCTTTCCCAAGGGTATTTGTGTGTAAGTAAATCTAACTCGACTGGAATTCGAATTTGGCTCTCCAAGTTCTCACTTTGAGCAATGTGCATCCATATCAAAGGTAGAACAAAGCATAAATCAAGAAATAAAACAATCAATAATGCTTCCAAACAAGGTTTTTTTTTATTGTTTCTTGTAATACAGAGGCTGAAAAACCTCCTAAAACTCCCAAATAATATATACTTATCCTGAATAGGTAAATATGCAGCTACATAACAGGTGTAACAGCAAAATTGTCCAACTCGTGTAACAGCATGGGATAATTGCCCATCCTACAAAATGTTTAATATCTAAAAAAAACACTAAACTAATTAAGTTTCTTTTTTCCAGTTTTTCAGATAAGACGTTTAGCCATCTTGGCACCCTTTATCATAAGACTCACTGAAAAACCCTTTGAGTTATTCAGCTAAAAACAGAGCATGTTAAAATCATTTTTTGTCTTTCCAACTGAGCAATGGTGAGAGGAAAAGGATCATTGAGGCCTTCAGTAATGGTACCAACATTCATACTCTGGCTTCCATCTTCAAAGTTCATTCAAGAACCATCAAGAGAGAACGGTGAATAAGTTTAAAAAAGAAGGAACAGTAGAGTGGAAAACTGGATCAGGAGGTTGCAAAAGCAAGAGGGATCATCATTTCAACTAAAGCTAAAGATATCAATTAGAAAAGATCCAACTCAATCCATAAAATGTTTGGTATGTGGGATAGGAGTTTCAGCTGTGACAATCCAAAGAGCAGTGAAAAAAGACTTGACAATGAAATCATACATGAAATGTGTGAGGCAACTTGTTACTTGAGGAGAGAAAATTAGAAGGTTAGAGACGGCAAAGATCATCCTGAATAAGTTGGAAAATGATCTTGAATATATATATATATATATATATATATATATATATATATTTGAACTTTATATTAGCTTCCAATCCGTAGCTATGATTTATTAATGATGAACATCATTATTTTTTTATGATCAGTTTCATCACAATTGTACTGTTAAACTTGGAGAGTAATTATACATTCTTATTGCTCAAAGTAGAGTCCAATAGTGTTATAAAAACCTCAGAGAATTCCAGTAAGATATCTTTAATCATTTCTAAGATACAACGGTTCAAAGCTTAATCTAAGAATTGGGCAATTTTGCTGTTATATGATTTAGACAATTTTGCTGTAACACCCAATATAAGAAATGAGCAAGACTGTATCACCAAAACACTCTGCTGTTGTTGGCTGCTATGGAAAGTTTTAAACAACATGTGGCGCTAGTCTTGTAGCTGCTCAATGAACTAATGGCAGCTGATTCAAAAATGTACCAAACCACTGAACTACAGAGTACCAGATTAAAGAGGTCGGACTGTCTTATTCAGAAATCATTTTATATTATTGTGCATAAAATTACAAAAAATATTTTTTTGTTTATCTAATATATTTAAGTATGAACAAATACAAATGAACAATATGATCGATTGGTTGATTTTGTTTTTTATGGTTAATCAAAGTTTTGGTTTATTTAAAACCAAAACATGTTATTGCATTAACAATCTTTTGGAGTTAATAAAGGTTTTCAGATACAAGCTCTACTATTTAACCCATAGGTAGGGTAAGA